CAACACCCCACACACACGTGGATGCCAGAAGCCAGCGCACCGGCCTCCAAACAAGATATACAGGCTATGCTGACAGGCCTGCAACAGAACCTAAGACAAATGTGGGAAGCGGACCTGGCAGTGCTTAAACTAGACGTGCACGCCGTGTCCACTCGCACTCAGGCGGTAGAAGAGGAGGTAAAGGGACTAAGAGAGAACTACCAGGAATTGGGGGAGACGGTGCGACACCTTCAAGCTGCACAAGCAACAATGTCCAGGCAAGTTACCCTCCTAGATGATAGGGGACGCCGAAAAAACATAAAAATCCGAGGGGTGCCTGAATCAATACCGCTGGAAGAGTTGCCACATTTCATCAGACGCCTTGTGGCCACACTCCTGCCAACTAGACAATCTAAATCGTTCCAGTTCGACGGGGTTTACAGGATAGCCAAATCCCCACAAGCACCCAACTCAGCCCCACGAGACATAATATTGAGATGCCAATCAATGTTGGACAAACTGGGGCTAATGGCAGCTATACAAGGGAAGACACCTCTTGACTTTGAAGACAGCAAACTTTCCTTCTTTCAGGACTTGAGCAGGGCCACACTGATATGGCGCAAAAGTATGCAACCAATCACCAAACAACTCCAAGCCGCAGGAGTAGCCTATAGATGGGCAACACCAGGAACTCTCTGGATCACTAAAGATGACAAGCACTACAGAGCCACCGACCAGGCAGAGGGCCCAGCACTGATGACCGCATTGGGAATATCGAACCTCACAGCGACCTCAATGACACAGTCAGCTCATCGACCAGGGACAACGAGCACAGATTCATCCGCAACCCCTGGAACAAGCAGAGGCCCGAAAACCAAAACCTGAACGAACTGCCTCACCGACGGCCTCATAGGCCTTAGTTTCACTAGTTTAAATATTTTAAGTTGATAAATCTGTTTATTTAAGTTAAATGTAGTTCTCCCACACTCTGACGGCTATAACAGTGCTAAAAAGGCCCACCAGAGCCACGCACACCAGCTCCGATAACAATCCCCCCCCCTCCCTTGGGTTAATGGGAAACGACATCACAGGCGACATAGTAACCCTGACTGGAATCAAGCTCACCGCAAGGTCTGATGCCCCAAGGGCACAACTTGATCCTGTCACACTACAGCGACCTATATATATACCTAGACACGAATTCATAGTTACCACTAGGGCCAAAAAGACACCTTGGGACACCTAGAGCACCACACACATGGGTACCCACCAATAGCTACAACCAGGAAAAAAAAGAAAAAAAAAAGAAGAGGAGCGGACATAGTCCTAGAAAGGGCACAAATAGAGAGACCCCGTAACTACCGCAATCCGCTTCCTTATCCAAACTCGAAAGGATCAAGAGACACACCCAACACCCATAACCTATAGTCGCACGACCTGGAATTGGGAACAGCCACTGGACCTAGCTGTAAATGCCTTTCCCCCTCCACCCACGACTCCGCAGACCTTAGGGTGTCTTAGGCAGACAGAAGTCTTCCACCCCCACAGTTATTAGATTTTAAAACCTCATTATAACAATGTGACCTATTGTAAATATAAAATGTGTGTGACTCGCACACAACAATGCCTTGTATTTAATATGTACTGATTCTAATCGTTGTGTAGAGGCTGTTGTGGCCAACTTCATGAATCTGTTATTTTTCCACATGAAAAATAAAGAATTAAAAAAAATAAATAAATAAGATATAATCAGGTTGCCAATTAAAATAGTCTAAAAACCATAGTGACAATATGGAGTTTATCCGAGAAACAAATGGTCTTTCTGGGGGATTTTTTTTCATCTTTATGTATTTTTTGTAGAAAAAAGATAACAGGAATCTTCGGGTGACTTACATTAAGATATTCAAATTCTTTTTTATTGAGTATGTTCGATTCTTGGCCGTTAGTTAAAAATTGGGATAGAGTGTTTTTTTATAGTATGAGTAGGGTCTGAGGATAGTTTATTATATACTTTAGAGTCATTTAGTTGTCTGAGTGCTTCATCAATATACATAGCTTTGGAGAGTACCACTAGACTACCACCTTTGTCAGCTGGTTTGATGATTATGTTGGCATCTCTCTGTAACTCTTTAAGTGCTAATTGTTCTTGATATGTCAAGTTATCGGTTTTATATTTAGCTTTTTTGTATTGTTTTTGTTTAATTTTGTCCAAATCTTGTAGAACTAGTTTTTCAAATACCTCTATGGGTCCTGATCAAATCAGCTTACGCGGTTTAGTAAATAAACTCTTATATTAATGTGTTATTAATAAAGGAAAGGTTCAATCAATAAAAAAGTAACTCAATAATCTTATTAACATATAAATTTTAAAAAAAAAAGTTCATATTGTAATATGGATGGGTGTGATATGCTTTGGGAGGTTTTGGGGGGAGGGAGAAATTACGTTTCACAACTTTAACTTGAATGTCGCCCCCATAGTCTTCTCTTCAATAAACGACATTATTTTTTTAACTATACATAAACCAGTCATTATCAGCCAGGAAATGTGAGCATTATGTGAAATGAGTCTGTCTGCAAAGACACTTTGAAGGAACTACATATTTTGGTTCCCGTTTGTCATTTTTTTGGGTTCGGTGCGACAAGAAAACTGCAGGAATTAGCGCTCTCCCTGTGTGGCATTGTTTGTGCAACCGAACAACACATGCCTGAGAAAACGGCAGCCATCTTGTCGCACGAAAGGATGCAGCGGGACTTGGATCTGATCGCTATTTGGACAACTTGAAGGCTCAAATCCAGGCTATCCGGGAATATGACATTTATGTGGGTCCCCATAATTTTTATGTAAAATAATATGTACTTTTTATATTTTGTATTTTATCTAGAGTCATTGTGATTCAGTAATTTAAGGGGCGTGTTGTGGGAGTTTCTGTGTGTGTAATGTACCCTTGACTTGCATAGAAGCTGGCCATTTGGCCTGAATAAAAACATTCCTGTTGTACCCTTCATCTAGTCTAGGCTAATGTTTGGGTATGTGTCTGAATACCGTTGGATTTATTTGTATGCTGTATTTTACTGTGGAGAACGTACTAATCGACACCCGAACTGCGAGCTATAATCACAAAATATCTCGGAGTTCGGAAGGAAGCGAGCGAATGGGTACCTGAAGTACCAGCGTTCATTACAGACATTACACTCATTTTCAACAGCAAATGAAAGATTCCTCATTTACTACCCCTGGTGGTGGAAAGTGTTCACCATTGAGTGCCCGGATAGCTCAGTCGGTAGAGCATCAGACTTTTAATCTGAGGGTCCAGGGTTCAAGTCCCTGTTCGGGCGACACAACTCATGGTGTATTTTTTTTTCTTTTAGCTTTCATTTTACACTACGACGTCTGGTTATTTCCAAAATGTTGAACTATTGTCAATAAAGAACACTGATCTTGATGTATTTTAGTGGCATACAAACAAACAGACCAGCCAATTGCCTTTTTTACATTTACTACTATCATACGGTGTACCAAAGGGGAAAGTATACGTCAGTTTTGTCCAAAAGGTAGATTCCCCATATGTTTTAAAACGTCAGCTTCCATGATGCTCTGTCAATTCTAAAATATGACAATCTACCTTTTGAGCAGCATACAACTCATTCTCAAAAAATATTTTCTGGTCACCAACCATAGCTGTATAAATTAAACAAAAAGTAACGAACCGCCCGAACAGGGACTTGAACCCTGGACCCTCAGATTAAAAGTCTGATGCTCTACCGACTGAGCTATCCGGGCTCGTTGGATACTCATGCTTAACTAACGTAAAATGAATGATCAACGCCCTCTAGCTGTGGCACACATTTTCCTTTGTGTTGAAATATGGCTATAGAATTCATAGCTGACTGTAGTTCTGTATAGCCCTGTGCACTGACTTGCATTAAGCTCACTAGAATGGCAGATTTAATAAGTAAATCAGGAAAAGCTGGAGTTTTTTTTTTAATGGTTTTTTAAATCTCTTCCTGAGACATTCCCTGCTTGGTGCCAAACATGGAATGCGGGCACTGATGGTAATAGCAGTGCCCATTGCTAAAAACGAGACATCCGTGCATGTTTTATCTGCAGTTATGCCAAGGACTGTTGGCTCTAACATATTTCCTGAAAGCAATCACTTGTCACACGTATGCTGTTGGGCACTAGAAAAGTACAGCCATCAAATATGTAACAAAATCCGCTTGGAATCAAGCAGGGATTGATTTCCTGCCTGCAGCATATGAATCCCTGTAACATGGTGAAATGGGTGTCCAGGAAAAAAAAGGTCTGGACTTGGTGACCCATGCTAGTTTATAGATTACATGAATTTTTGAAAATGCAGTTCAATCCATTCCTACCTATTACCAAAAGGGTTATTTAACCCTTTGAGTGCAGCACCTCAGTGTTAGGTATACAGCTTTGTGTTCCTTTTAACATACTGCAAGCCTGAATTTAGGTGGGATTTAATATAGTTCTCACTTATTTTTTATTTAAGTTTACAACTCGTTGGAGTTTATTTACCAAGCTCGAACAGGTTTATTCACTAAAGTGAGAATTCAAAGTGAATTTCAAATTAAAGGACAGAAGTAGCCGAATTGGAAACAATGTCTAAAAGTCACCTATGCATCCAGTTTGGATATTTCTGCTTTAAATTTAAAATTCACTTGCGATTCACTAGAGCTTCTCGCTTCAGTGATTAGCCCTGTAAATTGATGAGAACGGGAGTCTGTCAAAATCCAGAAGAAAATGTCTAAACCCGACACATTCTAGAACTCAGCTCTCACAGCGAGTTTAGAACGCTAGTTATTCAGAACACCAAGCACTCCACCATACCATAGAGTGTTCGACAGACGCTATAGAGCGCCGCCGCATTCCGTTCTCTATGGAAGCCAATGCCCCTATATGCCATTGAAATCATAGACCTATTCTATGATTGAAATGGCCGCCTGCCGGAAGTTCCTGTCTGTTACTCCAACGCTGTCCAATAATGTTAAAGCGCAGTGCGCCGCCATGTTGCGGGGACCGGAAGTAGAGTTTCCCTGGGATATGGCGCTGCTTTGCCATTAGTTATTGAGCGAGAGAAGCGAGGCCTCCAGTGGGGAGTCGGACCAGAATGCGGGGGACAGGAGAAGGCGTATAGGGTGAGGTTTGGGATACCGGCTCCATTAATGTTACCATGGTGGGGGGGTATATTCAGTGTTTACACCCACCGCAGAGCATGTGACATGCTGCTACAGGGCCCAGAATGTTACAAAGGGTCTACACCAGGGGTCCTCAAACTCCGGCCCCCCCCAGATGTTGCTGAACTACAACTCCCATGATTCTTAGAATTACATAGATAGCCAGAGAATCATGGGAGTTGTAGTAAAGCAACATCTGGGGGGCCGGAGTTTGAGGACCCCTGATCTAGAAGTTCGTTCAACTATCCGGCTTTATTGGTCAGTCTCAAGAACTTCATGCTTCCCGTAAAATGTTTTTAGTTAATATCCCAAATTAGCCATTAATGTGTCCTACCCCGTCATAAACATCACCACCTGCTTCAATTGGGGGGTTATTTTCGTACTAACCGGGCAATGCCATGGGGTTTGCAACTTTTACACCAAAGTAGGTATTTTCCACAACCAATTTTCGAGTCTCCACAATTCCCAATTGACAGTTTTTTTAAAAAAGGAATCAAATGTTAAATTTTACCGAGGTGTAGTTGGATTGCCTGTTTTAATAACTTTTTTGATACGTAATTTAAAATTTACTTACTTTAAAAAATGCTACAATGCTTTTTCTTTTTTGAAATAGATTTTGCATGCAAATGCAGTCTTGTTTCACCCCTAAATTGGATTTATCCAGGATTATTTTCCCTCGCCCTTTAATTTAACTGTGAGATTATATGATCATTCAAACCACTGTAATCACGTCAGCGCACTGTAGTGAATATGGTGGCTGGAGTGTTTTGTAATTGTTATGGTGCCAGGAGGGCCCTGATTTAAGTAGGCCACTCGCTGCCACCTCTTTAATGCTGAAGAACTGAAATATCCTTTTAGCTCACCTGAGCTAAGCTTTCCAATGCTAAAGATAAGCTCTGTCTTCCTCAGTCCTCCGTGATCCGACTGCACGCCTCTGCTCTCAAGCAGCTGGTCACCTCGGGGGCTAAACAGGCTCACAAATCCCAGGTGCCAAGTCGACCAGGAAATTTGTCCTGGCACCTGGGATTTGTGAGCCTGTTTAGCCCCCGAGGTGACCAGCTTTTTTTGAGCCTTGGTTTAGGTGACTATAGTGTTCCTTTAAAGGATCACTATAGGCACCCAGACCACTTAAGCTTAATGAAGTGGTCTGGGTGCCAGGTCCAGCTAGGGTTAACCCCTTTTTTATATATATATATATATATATATATATATATATATATATATATATATATATATCTCAGTTTCAGAGAAACTGCTATGTTTACACTGAGGGTTAATCCAGCCTCTAGTGGCTGTCTCATTGACAGCCGCTAGAGGCGCTTGCGTGCTTCTCACTGTGAAAATCACAGTGAGAAGACGCCAGCGTCCATAGGAAAGCATTGTAAATGCTTTCCTATGAACTGGCTGAATGCGCACGCGGCTCCTGCCGCGCATGCGCATTCAGCAAATGACGTCGCTAGGAAGGAGGAGGAAAGCTCCCCACCCGGCGCTGGAGAAAGGTAAGATTTTAACCCCTTCCTCTCTCCAGAGCCCGGCGGGAGGGGGGACCCTCAGGGCACTATAGTGCCACGAAAACGAGTATGTTTGTTTGTTTTTCTGGCACTATAGTGGTCCTTTAATACTCCATAGTTTGCAATATTATGTGAGTTCTTTCAACTATATTTGTTCTGCAAGCCTTGCCTCTCATCGAATCCTTGATTTTTTTATTTTTTTTATTTTTTTTTAATAGGTGTCAACTCATCATTTTTAATAACTGCCACCAAAATGTCAACATCTACCTCCTCACAGCACCTGTCTGGAAAGGATGCCTCCCTGCAAAGTATATTGGGCAGTGAAGCGAATCCGGTATGTAAGCTATCCAGTAATAGTATTACGAACTTTGACATATTCACTATTAGTCTGAAAATTATAACATTTTATAGTTGCTTATACATATGTTCCCTGTAACAGAACTGTTGTTAAAAACAGGATATGATCTTGATTGGGGACTTCACTGTGAAAGTGGCTCATTCACCTTCTTGGATACTTGACTAATTTAGAAAGAGCTCAAATGGTGACCAGCTGGGAGCATTGGAAAGTGGGTTTTTACTTAATTTTGAACCTGTCCCTCGTGGGCCCTGACATCCATTAACTGCTGGCTCTCTTCTGCTCATGGTGTTTTATTTGCCAGGAGCTGACGTCAGTGCTGTACTCTTGCGCATGTGTAAGGGTATAGTATTGAAGTCTATGGAGGAGACTGTGGGAGCCTCCATGGATATTGTCTCGCAAGGAGCAATGCCTTATTCGCTAGTAACAGCTGGGGGAAGTGACAGCATTTGTCAAAAGTAGCTCTCTATTGTATCATGTTTTGTCAAGCAGAGGAAAATACATAATGGAAAGTAATCCCTATTAGGCCTTATTTTAGGATAAATAGACTGAACAATAACAGATTAGGAGTAAAGAATAAAAGACTAACAGATTTAAGTAAGGTAAATATTGGGCAACAGGCAGCTTAACATATCCTTTAACCCCTTGAGGACACATGACGTGTGACATGTCATGATTCTCTTTTATTCCAGAAGTTTGGTCCTTAAGGGTTTAAAAAAAAAAAAAAGATTTTACTGTTCAGTAAAATACTTGTACTAAAGCACTTTTTCCATGCTGATTTTTTTTTTTTTTTTTTAATAACTCTCTGCCCCAAGGTACGACCCCAGCCGGCACTACTGAAGATTCTGCATACAGCAGGGGCAAAGGGGGAAACATTTACTTTAAAGCAGGTGAGAGCACTTTTAAAACAATAATTAAACTTACAATGTGGTTTTCAGTTGCATTATGTGGACCTATTTTACTGTTACTTTAGAATAGAGCTGTGCTGGCACTTAATTTTATACATGTGTGATTAATCTATTAAGGGAACATTTCAAGCGCCATAAACACTGCAGTTTTAACAAGGGTTTGACTTCTTACTTGGGCTCTGCCAGGCACTGCTAATGCCTAAGCAGGAACCTCAGTTCTTCTGAGCTAATCAGGGCAAGCTCATTTGCTGATTGCGCACAACAAATGAGCTAAGTTCTGCACTATAGACATAACTCAGGAGAGGTAACCGAAGCTGATACTTAGGAGCCTGCGAGTCTCTGGCATTTGTAGTGGAAACAGGGAGCGGCTCTCAGGTAAGAAGTCAAATCTTTCAGAAACAGTTATGGTGCTTGGAGTGTATCTTTAAACTGTTTAAGATCTGATTTTGTCATCCTCCACTTTTTAGGTTTCTAGATGTACTATCTATATTTGACCCAAGCACTTGCCTATGTGGGCAATGTTATAAATGCTTGTGTTCATGGGGGGGACCCCTATTAAGGAGCCAAACATCCACTATGTGGGTCAAAGTAACAGGGCTCCAGTGGTTAAGAAACCAGGTACTGCATGTCCTCTTAGGAGGAGGTGCTATGTATTCAGCTAAGTGGAGGTGGGCGAGTGCAGAACAAAAAACATAATATCAAAGCAAAACAATAATAAAGAACTTCAAACCGCATTGAGGCAGTACAGTCTCTGTGGAACTCAGGTCCCTGGTATCGGGGTTGGTGGTGGGGGGACAGTGTGAGCTGGGTCCCGTACATGGCTGTTCTGCAGTCCGCCAGGGTCAGAGGTAGACACGGGTAGGCCCAAGTCCTGCAGGAGGGCTGGCCCTCCGGCTAGAGATGAAATATTTTGTGTGCTATCCCATTGTGCTTTACAAGGTACCTTGATGACAGCCATCTGTAGTCCAGTCCAGCAGCTCTCAGTTGGCTGGTGACAGGGTGTAGTGACAGTCGCCACTGCAGAGTGGACCGGTTGAGATCCGGGGAGAATGTAAGATGGGAGCCTTCAAATATAAATGGCGTCTTGCCCCTTAGGGCCATCACCAGAGCTCTCTTATCATGAGCAGTGGACAATAACATCCCGAGCCGTGCGAACCCCACCAGACCCCTGGCAGGCGGTAGGTCCCATCCAGTGAGAACCTCTTTATCTGGTTTGGTGGCAGCACTGAGGCGCCGGGCATAGTGTGGAAGGTCCTCTGTTGTGACTACTTCAGGTATGCCCCGTATATTGAGGTGATTTTGGCGGGATCTGTCGTTTAGCGCTATGTAGTGAATAGATAGGGCAACTTGGGCAGCCTACATTTGATGTGCAGAGTCCTGTATTGTGGACAGTCCCTTTTTAAAGTCTTCACTCGCCACATCCGCAGCAAGGAGAGTTTTGATTTCAACTACTAGGTTGTGCAAATCCTGCTTGTTGACCAGGTCTGACCCTCCTTGGGTGTCCGATTTTGTTTGCTCCGATCTCGGCATCCGTCGTGTTGAGTCGGATTGCGAGTTTTCCGGCTGGGCCTTTGCGCCCGCAAAGCTGTCAGGCATCGCCATTTTGGGCTGAGGTTGCCATTGAAGTTGGGCCCCGATATCCCTCGATCATGAAGATAAGGCAGGTGTGGGACGCTGGTTCTTACTACTCATATCAGTCTGAAGGGTGGGCCGCCGAGATCTGCTAGGTGCAGACCTCGACCCCAGGTCTCCTGTAGGAATAAAGCCGCTGAGCAAGGTTGCCAAATCGAGGTCCAAAGGGGGATGGTAGGCCCCAGATCTGCGTTTCTGCCAATTCGACTTGGGAGTGTGTAGAAATGGCATATGTGGTTGCTGTCTGGTTCTTGGGTGTAGAGTCATAATGTAGCCACAAAAAAACTGTTTTAGAGGGAGATTAGTACGGAGCTATGTGAATTAGCATCCGCTCCGTGTCAAGGTCAGGCTCCTCCCTCCCCCCCGCCCCCCCCCCAAATTCTGTATCCCCCTTAATTTGTACCTTTTTTTTTTTGCAATTACATTGTTGGACCTGCTCTGTGCTGAGGGCTCAAGGACCATGTTCTGGGCATCACCAACCATCCCATCCTATTCACTCTTGTTTTATTGTTTGAAAGTGTCACTGTAGCTGAAATTTTCAACCATTTTACATACATTACAGTCTGGCCAGTGACTCCTGGCAAAGTTTCTCTACCAGTAACTATTCCTGGTATATTGTTTTGAAAAGTAATAATTCTTGGCGTGACAATGTTAACCATTATAATGAGGAAGAACTATCTAAACTCCCTACTCAATAAATACTTTAAGGTAGCAGCCATTTGATGTCCATTTCAGAAGCACAATGAAGGAAAGGACAGTAGCCTGTGCTGGTTGAATTTTTAAGCAAGTCTCTCATCTAGTTTTCAATAAAGACAAAACATCAGCATCCTTTGGAGAAGATGTGTCTTTGCCCTGATACCATGCAGAGTTGGTGCCAGAACTGTCATTATGACTGGGGAGAGTTATTCCATAACATACAACGGTGTACAATACAAGCGTAAATGGATATGGAGCTTCCTTAAACCATATAAACCAAAAAAAATGCAACCACTGTAAACACACATCCAAACAGTGAGTGTAAAAACAAATAAAAAAGGTAAATTAATCAAAAACACAATGTATTTACCTTGTTACAATAATGAATAGATTCACAACTCTACACAATTTTAAAAAGCAAAAAATATGCGGCTTTCTCTTTTTATATACAAAATAAGTGAGTGGGCAGAATCTCTGGCTTTGGAAAGATTGGTTTTGTTAGGGCTACATGAAAAAACAACTCCTAAAAGCTGCAGAGTTTGCAAGCCCTTTCCTCTTTCCCTGACACAGTAAGTTTGTGCCAGGGAATACTCCAATCAGAGGCTTCTCTTCCTCTGTGCTGAAGCTGCGAGCATGCATGCGATTCGGCTTTCCAATGCTTCTCAGTGATCTGTACTATAACTAACAGAAGCAGTAGAAAACCTACTTGTCTAAAAGCTAGGTATGTGCTTCTGTTGAATTCAGTACTTTTACAAGCTGTAACAAATGACAACCTCCAACAAGCTGCAGTGTTCCTTTAATTGGATTTGTTTAAGCCGAGACATGTTGGACTGAGGAGCTGTTTGTTGTGATTTTATTTTTAAGACTTTACTGCTTTTAATGTGTCTATACTGTAGTTTTCCCCATCTTTGTTTAACAGTGTGGAAGCCAATAGATATTGCCAGCTCCTATGTGGGCACCCATATGCTAACTTATTGACTTGTACAGAGCCTGACATCTGCTCTTTATCAAGGGAGTGGTCCTGCACACATACTCATTTTTATATATGTTAAAGGTAGAGCACTCTTTTTTTTTTCCTCTCTCTCTTTATTTCACACTTTGCTTACAATTGGTGGCTACCAGGGTGAGCTGTAGTGTTTGTTTCTTGGAATATGTATTTAAGGAAGGAAAAATTAGGTCATATGTGGAAACGCTGGTCTGTGATTTGCACTTAAGGGAAACTTGTTAATTTGTTCAGCAAATTTCTGTACTCAAGGGAACACTCAAACAGTTGTAGTGGTTATGTCCACCACCGTAAGTCGTCAAATTGCTTTAGAACAGTTTAGCTTCTTCCTTTGGATTCACTGTGCATCGCTCCAAACCTCCACTTCTTCCTATGGAATACAAAAGCTCATGCTGACACTTGGACAAGTAGCTAAACCCTACACTGCAGTGCTCAGTCAGGATAGGAACATCCAGTTCTCTGACGTTGCAAGTAGAGAAGAGCAGCTGCGGATAGCAGATTTTAAACAGTTTGACCCCTTATAATGGAGTGGTGCCTGGGCTCCTGGCACCATAACCACTACAGAGCTACTGCTGGTAGGTCAGACATTGCTTTTATAGCTCCCCAAAACACGTAGTGAAGGTAGGTCATGGGTGGGGCTAACATTAACGGGTGACCGTGAGAAATGCCGGTCTATTAGCCTAAGTGCGAGTTATAGACGCAAGGGGTGTCTACCCTCAGTGACTCAATAGGTATGCATATTTTGCAAGATTAGTAATTAAAAGAAAAGTATTAACCAGAAAGCAAAATAACATTAGTAACGTGGTGTGTATATTCACAAATCAAGAGAGTGGCGGAATGTGTGGTATCCTGAAGGATGTGCAAGCGTCCGATCAGAGTGTGTCCCTCAGGCTGTATCACCTGTTGGTAGCGTGCGTCGGGACGATCTTGGTATAAACTTCGTCGCTGTGGAGGGGTCCAACCAGGACTTAGTGGCAGTGTAGCAGTCAGGCCCAGACAGGTCAAGTGGGAGTCCAGTTCCTGTGAGCTCTTCGCCCGGTAGGTAGAGGCCTTGGAAGGTAAAGGTGATGAGACGTGGCACTCCCCAGCGCTAGGGGATATTTTTGGAGCGTAGGTGTTGTAGGTTTGTTTGGAGCGACTTTTGCCAGCTGAGTGTGCTCCTCTTGAGATTAGGAAACAATGAGTTGTGAGAGTCCTCGAATGGAGGGGTCCAACCAGGACTTAGTGGCAGTGGTTTCCGGCAGTGTAGCAGTCAGGCCCAGACAGGTCAAGTGGGAGTCCAGTTCCTGTGAGCTCTTCGCCCGGTAGGTAGATGAGACGTGGCACTCCCCAGCGCTAGGGGATATTTTTGGAGCGCAGGTGTTGTAGGCTAGTTTGGAGCGACTTTCGTCAGCTGAGTGTGCTCCTCTTGAGATTAGGAAACAATGAGTTGTGAGAGTCCTCGAATGGTAGAGGGGTTTGCCCTCAGGCCGCTGTTAGCAGGGTGGTCTTGTCCTGGAGGGATTGGAATCGCACAATGAGGTCTGCTGTCGTGGTTGGGGGTGCATTTGCCCGACTTGGGCAGGCGGAACATTCCGTCTATTTTCACAGCTTTTGGTTGTAGCAGTGTCTCTAGTAAGCAACGTATGTAATGTGGGAGATCAGCCTGTCCCATGGCATCAGGCACCATTCTGATCTTCAAATTGTTTTCGTCTGTGGTCCTCCATGGCCTCTACCTTTTCGGCTTTACCAAGTTGTTTGTGGAGATCTGAGACTCTGCTCCAGTGTGGTTATGCGGGTGTCTCGTGAGCTCGCAGTGGCCTCTAGGAGGGTAAGCCTTGTGGTGGCCTCCTCAGTAGCCTCTTTAAAGTATGCCCTGCCTGAGTTCTGCAAACATCTTTACCGTTCGCAGTGACTGGGTCCCCAGATGGTGGTGGTTGGGCCTTGTGCACTTTGGGCAGGGTCACCGAGGCACCTGGTCTCAGGTCTGAGTAGGCATCTGAGGAGTCGGAGAAACCCTCCTTCCCATGCGGCCTTCTGCGAGTTCCGCAGTAATTCGCCGATGTCGCTGCTGTTAGAGGCTTTGTCTGGCCTTGTTTTTTTTTTTTTTTTTCTGCCCATCACCTCACTGATCGGTATTTAAGGTAAGGAGGTGGTAGGTGAACTGATTCCGCCGTTAAATCTGTTATTTAGCTTGTTTTGCCACTGAGCTCTTCAAGACCTGTCTGCTTTGGTCTGCAGCCGGCTCCTCCCGCCCCCCAGGTGGGTGTCTATTACAGCTCTCCCCTGCAGTAACCATTAAAGCCTTTTCTCCCATCTCTCACTTACTCCACCAGGGTCAAGGTAAGATATTGTATTTTGTTTTCTTTTTGGAGTATTCTACTCCATTGCTGATAGTGGGTACACTCTGCTCCAAGTAAATCTTTTTAATTATGTTGCTGTTGCTTGATTTGTTACTGATCTGTGACCTTGTTTGCTCCCCTAAATCACTTTTAACCTCCAGAGAGTCATTCAAGCCCCTCATATGTCCTGATTTCATAGCTCTAAGGAAGCATGTAAACACAAGTAGATTTATTGATCGCACAGCTAATCTTTTTGATTTATCTTGGGTTTGTCTGGCCATGGTGTAATGTAAAAGTTGGTAGAAGATTTAAAAGAAAAAAAAAAAAAGAAAAATAAGCAAGTAAAAAAAATGCATTTTAGAGCAGCTCTGTCAGTGAGGAATTAAATGCACTGCAATTTCATTACTAATATGTCAGTCCCGTCCGCGGATCTCTTTGACTTATTTGAAACACTTATGCATTTAAATAACTTATTTAGTAGCAATTGGTGCAGGATGGAATGAAGGCAATAAAACATTTAGAGATGTCAAACCCCTTGCTGAGTCTGATTTAACTTTCTGTGGTTCATTTGTAGGTGTCTTTTATAGCCACTATATAAATCTTCATGTACCTTCTTACAGACAATGATTTCCATAACACAATGTGCATTATCACATGGAGTTGGTGATGCAGTTTTTTTGCCCTGGGGAATGGTGTTTTTTTTTTTTTTTTTAATTTATTTATTCATTTTTGCATTTTGTAGGTTTTGAGATTTTTAGAAATTCTTTCTCTTTTTTTCCTGTTATGTGGCATTTTTGCATCCTTGTGCTTACAAAAGCCCAACTAAAGTCTCTGAAAAGGCACAGTGCTTACGTTAAAAAGCCTGCAGGGACAGGCACTAGACACCATAACTACATTAAGCTCTAGTTATTCTGGTGACTATAGTGTCCCTTGTAAATGCAGTTATAAGAACACTTACTAAAATGCTTGTATTTAGTTTTCAAAGTAGGGTTGGCAATTGGTGACCTGAATATTAGTTTGACCACTGCATTATGCAGATTAATGTGTGGGTTTTTTAACTGATTCACAGCTGCGGGCTCTAGTAGTCTAAACTGGTGTTCAACGTTATGGCCACCTACAACTAATATTTGTAAATAGCATGGATAAAGGTTTATATAATACAAATGCAGCACAGACATGCCATTTTTACATTGTTGAACAGTATTATGAGGTCAAACATTTAAATGCCTCCTTGATATCCCAAATAGGGTTATTCTAGCATTGGTTAAATCACGTTTAACAGGTACCAGATCATTCTCTCAAGAACACTGCTCTTTCTCTTAGGTTATGCATTACCTGGGACAGTATATAATGGTGAAACAGCTCTACGACAAGCAACAGCAGCATATTGTCCACTGTGGCACTGATGAACTTGGGGAGTTGCTGGGCATTACAACCTTCTCTGTTAAGGACCCAAGGTAATTTCTTTTTCTCTGCAAAAGTCTTATTTTTCAATACTGTCGAATGACCCACTCTGTAACCATATCCCTTCGACACTTTTTCTTTCATCGATGCAATCCTTGGTAGCCCAGTACAAATATATTGTTAGCTTTTATAACTTAAATTTTTAGGTGTTCTTGCCTACTTTTGTGAGCTAGATATTACCTTTCTAATTTATTGGATATTTCTCCAGGTCACTTCTTTTTGTGTTAAGTTCTGTGTATTGCTGACAACAAATTATAGTAATAGATATTCCAAATTCACTTTATCTTAAAGGGACAGTCCGGGCACCAATACAACATTAATGCATTTAATAGATTTTTTTTTTTTAAATTCTTTATTTTATTTGTGCATACATAATTCACATCTGGCTTACAATGCCACAACAGCTAGAGTAAGCATTTTTCAACATAGCTTGACAGTAGTTAGGCATTAGTGGATACTGCACAATTTTATATATAATAACATTGCTTATCTAAGTGTTGTTCTGTGTTGCTGCATATAGAAGGTAAAGTACAAGATTAAACATAGCAGAGAAATATAAGTTTAGTGCTATAGAGTGAGGTGTTCCTATTGCAGGTTATGCTAGGTGTACTGGTAGTTGCTTAAGAGATTCTACATGTAGCTTATTAAGCTATTTATAGCGATTATTCATAGCAGAGTTTACACCTTGAGAGAACAGTATGATTAGTTATTAGAGAGACTAACATTACATTTGATAGATTTTTAACCTCATTAATATGTTGTATTTTCGCATGCTTAAATCTTTATAGTTCTTGTATTAAAATAAAATGTTTTGCAGAATGCTACACAATAAGTCTCCATCTGTAGCCACACCCCCTCACTCAGGAAAATTACACCCTTATCAAAGGTATGCACAGTGTGAGAAACTAAACCGGTAATGATATCCTTACTATATGTCTCTTTGGGTGTCCTCTAATTCAAGTTGCTTTGCAGTTCAGAGCGGTCAGTGGCTGAGCTGTGTGCATGTTTTTGTTAAGGAAGATATTTTTTGAGTGAGAGGGTGTGGTTAAAGAGGTAGGCTTAATGTGCAGCATTCTGCAAAAACTTTTTGTGTGCAAAAACTATAAAGATTTGAGCATTTGAGATTTGAGTACAAAAATTGCATATGAATTGGGCCTAAATTTATCAAATGTGTTAAATTTGTATTGGTGAAATGACGGTTATGCCCCGAGATTCATCGGATAAATTTGCTCCACACCCTATATAGTTTTACCTATAAACATTAGGCATAATCTTCTCCTTTTCTTCATAATCAAACCATGGAAGATAACAAGAATCAAATTTAACCTAATCAAATTTAACCTACAAGGCAACACTTTAGAGTCCTCACATGTCTAATCCCCTCTTCCACGATGGCATAGTGAAACTAGCTGTTTAAAACCTCACACTCCGGCTCTCTGGCCCGCATTGGAAACAGCATAGACTTTTCCACTCAAATATATTGACCCTTGCACAAATACGGGCCAATTTTTCAGCATTTCCACATACCTACAGATTCAAAGTTGTACTACCTCGATTCTACCACACTTTACTGGTATTGATTAGGCTCACTCCCTGGATTTGGAATCCATCCCAAGTTCAATGGTCTGCTTGTTTTTGTTTTTTTTTAATGCCCATACTCGCATGGTTTTAGACCGTTCCCCCTTTTGCATCTCCCTAATCGGATCCCCACTTTCAGATATACATAATGTCTTTTTGTTTTATTAAAATGAAATCTGTCATCTACTATACACTCATCATAATTTCCAGTAATTAATATTTGGAGAATAGTTGTATTGGTGGTTGGAGTGTCCCTTTTAAGTATCCCTATTGCTGTAATTTAGTTACTTCTCAGTAACTGTTACAGTTAACACAGGTGGATGGTAATTATTTTAAGATCTGCCAGCCATATGTACTCCTCTTATCCAAAATGAAAACCATATAAAGGTAATAGCGAGATATTGAGAGACTATACACTAGCCAGAATTTCTGCAGTGCTTTGTTCACTCTTCATAAGCCAATGTTTTGGTCTTTTAAAATATGTCTTTATTTTTTTTACAGTCCCCTATATGAAATGCTGAAGAAGAACCTCTATCGAATCTCTTATTCAGGTAGATACTCACATTTGCTTTGCTTTACTTACTGTCAATGAAGGAGCTCAAATTAGGTTGTAATTTCCTTCCTCCCTTCATGCTAATCTGCATTTTCACCATTAGTTATTGGATCACACCAGTATTCCCTAACAAGTACATTTGGGTTGTGTTTAAATGGTTTAGTTGTTCATTTTGGCAAGTAGGCAAGTTGGAGATTCCCAGAAAGTCTTGTTCAAAGGACTACTGTCCTCAAATGTTCACTTCTCATTTTTGAAAACTTTAATACATTTAAAAGAACACTCTGAGCACCATAAAAGCTAAACTTTAAATGAAAATTTTTATGGCACCAGGAAGTTCCTGGCGCTGGCTCACCATTAGAAGTTAAACCATAAAGTCTGCGTTCCAGTGACTGATCACTCTGCCCCTTCACTGCCCTGTCCTTTCACTATCTAAAATCCTGCTGTAGGCCAATCAGTGAAGCCCTTTCCATTAGCTAGGATTTCAGGTAGCGGAAGGATAGAGGGAGCAAAGTGATTTATAAACAGTTTTGCACCCTAAAGGTGAGCTAGCATCAGCGACCTCCTGGCACCATAACTTAATTGTTGGAGTAAATGGTGTATATTGATTGTTTTGAGAAAAAAATAACTTATCAGCTGCTTTGTGTGAGCCTGCAAAAGCAGGCAACTTAGGTTGAGCAGCAGCTTGTCAGATATTAGTTTCTGACCCAACATGGCTGGTCAGCCAAATAGTGAAATTTTCTCAAACAAATCAATATAAATCATTTATAAAAAAATAAGTTTCAATAAAGCAGACTTGTTTAAATAACATTGAAATAAAAAACACATAGGTAATCCTGTAAAGCCTTTGTCAGTTATATCAGAACACATAACTTTCTTAGTGATAAAGCACATTCAACCCTTTCTTTGCCCCGGTAAAACTTTGGAATATAAGAACCTATATTACTGGGGAAGGGGTTTTTTGTTTTTCTTTTCCCATTCACCTCACAGATGCTGAACAGAGTCCCTCAAGAGACCACGTGCAGGAAGCTGGCAAATTGGATCAGGAGAAGGTAAAACCCGGTATTTGTTGACCTTGTACAGAGTTTCCCTTCTCTGTACCTGCCGGCGTTGGATCTCCAGATCAGTTTTCAAACCGTTCAGGTTCCACTGGAGTCCACGGAGCAGGGACAGAGTCACCCTTCTCTGTTCCCAAAATACTCTCACAGCTCTACACTCAAGGCTGTAAGAGTGATGCAGCAGTTGTACCGGCCGCCTGACTCCAAGATATTTGCTAAATTCATCATATATAAAGATTAACCATAATGGGATTTGGAATGAATTTAAACGGGAGGCTTGCCATATGTCCTTAAAACTTTCTTGACATTTCAGTAAGAAAATCTTTGGGATTAAAATAAAAATGAACTTTTAAATAAATATTATGTTTCTTATCACCATGAAGGATTGTAATTCTGTGTTGGTTGATAATACAAAGTTTGAGATCATTTCTCCAATAAAACATCCTGTTTTTTACTTTACAATTTATCAAAGTGGTTTAACTTTGCCTATAGTGCAGGTGGCCGGTAATTAATTGCTGCATCTCCTTCTACAAAACCGCAGCATAATGGTACTAATTCATATTCTCTCCACATTGTTCATTCTTAGAGTTTCGACGAAGGAATATTCATCTCAGAAAGTCAAGATGCTTGTGACAGTACAACTGGAGTTGCTTACTCATCTCTTAAGCGTCCTGTGATAGAAGGTGAATTCACAGTGCTGTTTCTTACACGTTTGACTTTCCTTGTTTTCGTAGTTTTGAAACCATGTTAGAGAAAATAAAGACGGACCTCATCACTTTTTTTATTAAAGGATCACGAATAGGGTCCGGAACACAAACATGTATTCCTGATCCTATAGTGTTAAAACCACCATCTAGCCCCCCTGGTCCCCTCGTGCAAAATCTTACTGTATTCAAGCCTGAAGCTGTAACTCTGCATGCTATTTGTCCCAGAAGAACAAGCAGTCTGCTGACTTCATCAGATGTGGTAGCCTGATCCAATCACAATGCTTCCCCATAGGATTGGCTGAGACTGACAAGGAGGCAGATCAGGGGCAGAGCCAGCATGATTCAATCACAGCCCTGGCCAATCAGCATCTCCTTATTTAGATGAATTGAATCAGTGAATCTCTGAGGAAAGTTCAGTGTCTGCATGCAGAGGGAGGAGACACAATGTTTGGATGCATTTTAGGCAGCCAGGAAGGATCTCTAACAGCCATCTGAGGAGTGGCCAGTGAAGTTATCACTAGGCTGTAATGTAAACACTGCATTTTCTCTGAAAAGACTGTGTTTACAGCAAAAAGCCGGAAGGTAATGATTATAATCACCAGAACAAATTAAATAAGCTGTAGTTGTTCTGGTGACTATAGTGTCCCTTTAAACACATTATGCAAGCACAGGATTCACATGCATACACTCCATATCAGTATGCATAAGCATTTGCATATTATATAGCGCCATCAGTTTCCATAGCGACCTACACACAGACACTTTTATACACAATTACATGAACTTTTAATTCTGTTGCTTCTACATTTTGTGTTTCTCTCTAGCTCTTGCTCTCCTCTTCCTTCTTCCCTCCCTCCCCCCACTCCCCTATGCAATAAGGCAAGACTAAAGGTTACTTATCACTGCAAAGCTATGTGATCTTTATCACTTGCCTAGCATTTACCTATTTCTTAGCATTTTGGTACCTGCTGTACTAACTATTCCTTGTGTACTGCATATTTACTGCTAAGGAAATCAAGGAAAATACTATGTAAATATGTTTTAGGTGGCACAATGGTTGGATAAAATCAAAAGGCTTAACATTTAATCATAGCAGTTTGGAGTCAAATATATTTTAAAATACCATATGTATCTGAAGGAACTTGTCATATTTCTCCTACAAATTTATCATGCTGTCTAGGAGCATTGCAGGTTGTTCAGGATTTGAAGTCAGCACTGCATGGTTCCTGAATTGTTTGTCTGACAAACCAATGTCTACAATGTTTACAGAGTTTTAACTGCCCGTGCTTTGATGTATTGTTTAATGCCATTCCTTTTGGTCACAGATGTCATCCAAGCAGCCACTGCTACAGTATGGATTGCACTGGGACACAAGTGGTGTGAGTTGAAGGGCTGAATTTCCAGTCACTAGAGTCTAGTGGGAGAGGGGTAATTTTGATCCCTGAATCATGTGTTCAAGATTGAACTACATCAATATTCATAGGGACACTACTTAAAGTGGTTTGTCTGGAGACCATTTTTATGGCGAAACTCTAAATCACTTGCTTTTTCCACTGGTGAATGGGCACAAATACCATGAGGCTGTCATCTTATTAGTAAATAAACTGTGTGCTAAAATAGAATGTAAGCATTTGTGATCTAAACAATTTTCCACTCAACTAGATCCACACTTTCTCAAAGCTTTTAACCCCTTAAGGACACATGACAGAAATATTCCGTCATGACTCCCTTTAATTCCAGAAGTTGTGTCCTTAAGGGGTTAATTAATGGGACACTATAGTCACCAACACTACAGCTTATTGTAGTTGTTCCACTGAATATAGCATGTCCCTGCAAGCTTTTTGCTGTAAATACTGTCTTTTAAGAGAAGAGGCATTGTTTACATTACACACAGATAACGAGAAGGGCTGCGCCAAAAGGATAGAAATATGAATGAACTCAAACAATAAATATAAAATTTGTATTCTAGTAAATGAGTCTTTGTTATGAATAAAGTCTATTTAGTTACTTGGAAGTGTAGAGTCCTCAATGTTCTAAGTGTTTCAGCCGTTCGGTGTATATATAAAAGACAAAAGCGAGGGTAGCCAATGGTGCAGTATGTACAAACCAATAGGATTAAAATGAAGAAATATATACAGTCAACTCACATTTTAAAAAGCTATAGCCAGCTCACGGTGTGGAAGATGTACAGCAGTATAATCCCTGATTTAGAGGAAATGTGGTCAACATCCTCCAGAGGGATGGTGTCCAACACTCAGGTGAAAAGTGTATATATAAAAAAAACACAAAAAAAAACAGTGCTTTCAGTAATATAAAATAATGCAAATGGACATAAATAAAAATTAGAACCTAGCTAGAAGGATTTTATATAGGTGTATGGACATTTAAAATTGGCATCAAAATGACGTCACAGGTTTGTAGCCAATCGGGTAAAGACATATTTTACATATTTACAAATGTGTTTACAGACTTTCAATGCAATTTATACGTGTAACTTGATTTCTTATATAAATTGGAATAAAAACGAGTGTTTACTGCTTTAATCTAAACCATTATAGCGAGTCACGTGAAACAGATGAAAACAGAAATGACAAATGTACATTTATAGGAAATTCTTATATGGTTATCCAAACCCAAATAAACATATTTTTAAAAATACAGAAATAAGAACATTTAAAAATGACAACATTCATGGATTGTTTCTATATCCACATACCTTTTGCATTACAAGAAATTATTTATTTAAAAAAAACATCTATTCTAAATTGTTTCAAAAATACAAAATACTAAAATGCAATCTGTATACACCATCTTAACAACAAACAGATACCTACTAGCACCACCATGCATCAAAAAGTGGGAGGAAGACCTCGAGGAACCCATGACAGAAGCGGACTGCGACAAAAGTATCACTCTGATACAAAAAACACCGAGCTCGGCACGCACACAAGAAAACTCGTACAAGATACTCACCAGATGGTACCTAACACGCCAGGAACCCGGAAATCCCAGACACATGCTGGAGATGCGAGGAGCAGACTGGTACATATGGTGGACTTGCGCTCGCATTAGACCATTCTGGGAAAAAATCCGGACGATAATACATGAGGTTACAGATGAGCTCCTGCCACACTCCCCAGCCGCTTTCCTTCTACACCATACCACCATGGCGACATCAACATACAAGAGATCTGTCATCTCTAGACTCCTAAACGATGCGAAAGTGACCATCCCCATCTATTGGAAACAAACTAGCACACCTCCCATAATGAAGTGGATAGAGGAGGTGGAAGCCACAAGGACACTTGAAGACGTGAAAGCAGAAACCCTGAACCTCAGAGACCGACACACCAAACGCTGGTTCCACTGGACGAGGCTAACTGCGTCAGACTCCTTCAGACAACACCTAAACGCGCCGTAAGCAGAGACTGGAGGGAGAGAGAAATACAACAAGACAAACCGAAGACGGCGAGACGCAATGAGCCGGGCAGGCGACGGGTGGCGGGCAGCAGACCACCCTGACACACACTCAGTCAACACCACGACACAATGACAACTGATGACACCGGAGACGAATAGACCGCCTACAGACACAACACTCGCGAGCCACACACATAGCCACCTAAGGGGCTACAAACACGAATAAAGACAACTAACCATATAGCTATTACACTAACGGACGCCAAACAACACCAAGCAGGACCACAACCTAGCACTAACACCACACCCAACTCCTCGACACATAAGACGACAACGAAACCAAAGCTAGCACAGTAAGTGCGATAATGGGTACACAACAACACACACAACTAAAGACTACAAAACAAGTCAATACCCCCAAATGCCTCTATGAAGGCAACATGTTCCCTCCCCCACACATACAGCTGTCTACGCCTCTGCACAGACACCTATCTGCTAAACCAGAAATACATACACCATAGATAATCTACTGCAAAACCAATAAACATATTCCAAATAAAGTCGACACACACACACTGAAAACCAGACATCCAGGCAGGCAACCGCGCAATAGGACCGAGGGATACCCAACACTTAGAATACACAAACCACCGAGGCCCCTTACAACATACGCTAAAGCACCCTAACCCACTAAACTGAATAGACACACCGAATACAAGGATAACTACAGAACAGAAATGGTTACACATGACCATGAAACACCAAGATACACAAGGCAACAGATACAGAGACGCAAGAGCAGTTAGCAGGCACACGTACCAGAGCACGATAGGACAAGGTTAAACATCAGATAAAAGCCTGATGGAGGGGACACAAATAGGAAGTTAACTGACCGAATGCCATTAACAGAGAAGCAGGATACAACAGAGCCGCTAAGGCACCCCGGGTTTAGACACAACGCAACACATCAGCAAAAAGACACAGAACCCGCAGGCACAGACAATTAAAATGCCCAAAGCAGGAACACTCAAAACCACATACGTCTGTGCAAACGCAATAAAGACACACTACTAGCCGCATAGCTATACAATACGAGCAAATACATATGCATATATATGCTGTACCACAAACGCAACGACTAACCAGCCTCTGCGTAGGCGACGAGAGACAAACAAATGTACCCCTTCTTTAATGTTTGAACGACTGATCATAGTGATATCCCTATCATTCATACCCAACATAAATAAGTCTTGCATATGCCTCCCTTACCTAACATCACACATAGACAAATAGCCCCGACCTAGGCGGCATGCACACACGAAATAGATACCCAGATGGGGAGCATAGTATTTACGGTTTATAACGTTATGATTAGGCCTCCTCTACCTAACGCATTATACGAATACGAGGCTTTAACTATTGCGGCATGCACACACGCAATAGACGATGAGTCGCTGAAAAAGGCATACCACTACCCACACTAAAACAAATGTATCTACGGGTTATCACTCAGTGGCAGAACGACTACTTCTCGACCACATTGCCTCATTAGGCCTTAGATTAACGTAAAGCACTATCGACTTCCCAAAGTCATCATATGGCTATTAAGATACGCTGACACACACGGAAATACAGAAACTAAATGTGATAAACCTGGATGATCTGAAACGCATGCCTTCAAGTGGACAACTATCTGCTTTTATGTACACAAACCGTTAAACACGCTTCTGCGCATGCGAATATATGCATGTATACACTTGTTCAGACCTGCAAATCTCTGCGTAGGTGATTGTTCGCATTAACAGAAAACTGTTTGATACCTGCATTGTTGTTGTAATGACAATAAACATATTTAATACAAAAATGCAATCTGCTCAGGAGAATAAAAAGGAAACGTTCTAAAATATATAAACATTATAAAAAATTCTTTAAAAAAATGTAAAATCAAATTCTATATTGAGTCCCTTTGGCTCCAAAGTGTCTAGTTTGTACACCCATTTCATTTTTTCTTTTCCTATATTGTTTATATGATTACCACCTCACCAAGATTTATTAACTATTTTGATCCCTAAAAAAGTAAGACCATTTGGATCCGGATTGTGATATTTTTTTTAAATGCGCTGAAACGCTGTGTTTCTCGTAACTCTTGCGGATGTTGTTTATATGTTCATAAAGCCTCTTGTGTAACGGACGAATAGTACGACCCACATATTGTAGGCCGCATGGACAAATTAAAAGATAAATAACGTTCTTACTAAAACAAGTAATAAAATCCTTTATATAAAAGACCTCATCTTTATATTTTGTCCTAAATTCCAAAAGGGTATTAGTAAATTTAGGACAAAATATAAAGATGAGCATAACCTTCATCACTATGTATTTTACTTAGGACGTTTGCGACTTTATTATTTAGAATCTGGGTTAGGGGATCTCCTTATCTATTACTATCTAGGACTTATACACTCAGTTTACTTTATCTCTAGTTAGCCGCTTATCCCTACTCTGAGCTCTTCAGTTATCCTATTATAGGTTCTTGAGAGATATGTATCATCCTGTCACTCGACTTCTGTCGACCTAGGGTACATTGATCTTACGGAGCACTTTTTCTCCTACTATAGATGCATTCAGTACGCGGCATCTAGACAACGCTAATAAGTCTTTGGTTGATCTATAATTTTTTTCCTAAGGGGTTAAGGTGTTATATTATAGAGGCTTATTTTTACCTCCTTGTGCCCGGCCGGGCCGATCAACTACCCTTTTCCCTCTTCGCAAGGCACCCTGTCTATGTCTAGCTCTGGGTAATAGAGGGAGGATTATAATAGGGGTTTAAGGATTTCCTATCGGCTAGTATACCGACTTTATTACTAGTTCGAGTTCACACTGCCGCTCATCCTCCCCAAATACTCCTATTTGCCCTGTCCGCAGTATTGATCTTGGAGCTCCCCCAACGATAGGAAGTAATTTGAATATATCCTCTGGGGATATCCTTTTTAGGCAATACTCGTATGTGCAACTATATGCATTTTGTTCTATTAAGGGTTTCATTAGTGTCTATCACCCTAGTGGATACATTTTACTTCATTGTGCTCACACCTCTACTTTATATGTGTTACAAATGAGCTGTTAAGTTACTCTATTCTAATAGTAGCCACCCTATATACTGTGTGTTCGCTGCATATTTTGCATATTAGCAGATGATTCTATTTTTAACACTACTGTACATACTTTTCACATTGGTTTATTTCTTTCCCCAAGAGGGACTAATAAAGATTTATAGTTTTTTATTTATTTATTTTTTTAGTTCTATTTATGCTCTATGACTGGCAATCTATTGCATTACATTGGTGGAGCAGCCACATTCAGGGTATAGAGACTGAGTTTGATTGCACTGTTCCAGTTAACCCATCCCAGTCTCTTCTATTTTTATTATTACTTTGGGTTATGTCCTAATACCCTTCAACCAACACAACTCCAGTGAATGATCGTTTTGGTCTTTCACTGTTGCTGTATTCTCTCTAAAAGGGGAAACGAATATGAGATCGACGCATTACATGCAAAGCAAGAAAATTCAAGCCGTGATTTGTCATAAGTGTGATGATTATGGCTTACAGTTTATGAAAACCCCCAAATCCACAATCTCAGTAAATTAGAATATTACATGCAATCAATAAAACAAGGAGTGTACATAGAACGATATCAGACCTCTGAAAAGTATAAGCATGCATATGGACTCAGTACTTGGTTTGGGCCCCTTTTGCAGCAATTATTGCCTCAATGCAGCGTGGCATGGAAGCTATCAGCCTGTGGCACTGCTGTGTTATGGAAGACCAGGATGCTTCAATAGCGGCCTTCAGCTCTTCTGCATTGTTTGGTCTCATGTCTCATCTTTCTCTTGGCAATGCTCCATACATTCTCTATGGGTTTCAGGTCAGGCGAGTTTGCTGGCCAATCAAGCACAGTAATCCCACAGTCATTGAACCAGGCTTTGGTGCTTTGGCAGTGTGGGTAGGTTCCTGCTGGAAAATGAAGTCAGCATCCCCGTACAGCTCGTTTGCGGAAGGAAGCATGAAGTGCTCCAAAATCTCCTGGTAGACGGCTGCGTTGACCCTGGACTTAATGAAGCACAGTGGACCAACACCAGCAGATGCCATGGCTCCCCAAATCAACACAGACTGTGGAAACTTCACACTGGACTTGAAGCATCTTGCAGTGCGTGCCTCTCCCTTCTTCCTACAGACTCTGGGTCCTTGGTTTCCATATGAGATGCAAATGTTGCTCTCATCAGAAAAGAGGACTTTGGACCACTGAGCAACATACCAGGTCTGTTTTTCTTTGACCCAGGGAAGATGCTTCTGACGTTGGTTTTTGTTCAGGAGCGGCTTGACAAGTGGAATACGACATCTGAAGCCCATGTCCAGGATCCGTCTGTGTGTGGTGGCTTTTGATGCACTGACTCCAGCCTCAGTCCACTCCTTGTGAAAGTCCCCAACACTTTTGAACGGCCTTTCCTGACAATCCTCTCCAGGCTGCGGTCATCCCTGCTGCTTGTGCACCCTTTTCTTCCACATAACTTTCTATTAATGTGCTTTGATACAGCACTTTGGGAGCATCCAACTTCCTTTGCAATTACCTTTTGAGACTTTCCCTCCTTATGGAGGGTGTCAATGATGGTTTTCTGCACAACTGTCAGGTCAGCCGTCTTCCCCATGATTTGTGATTCCTACTGAACCAGACTGAGAGACCATTTAAAGGCTCAGAAACCCTTTGCAGGTGTTATGGCTTACTTATCTGATTAGAGTGGGACACTGTGAGCCTAGAATATTGCACTTTTTCGCAATATTCTAATTTACTGAGATTGTGGATTTGGGGTTTTCATGATCTATAAGACATAATCATGGCACTTATGACAAATCATGGCTTGAACTATCTTGCTTTGCATGTAATGCGTCTATCTCAAATTAGTTTCCCCTTTTACATTGCATTACTGAAATAAATGAACTTCTGCACGATATTCTTATTTTTAGAGTATCACATGTATGTATGTGTGTGTATATATGTGTATATATATGATACCGGCACTCAAGGAATTTCGAAAGTTTAATTTTCAATGTGCATCTGAAATCGACGTTTCAGCTCCTCCATCGGGAACGTCGTGCCCGTTAATTTAGTTTGCTGCTACTTCCTGGTTAGTCATCTGACCACGAAGATGGTCCTGATAGGTTGAACCTCACGTCGACTAGACAACCAAGGACGCTCACGTCCCATTGGAAGAGATTCAATATTATGAATACAGATTTCAGACAGACTTAATCTGTCAGCCGGTAGCACAAAGACGGCACCTGAAACTTGTTCCCCGCATGTTACCCGATGGTTAGATGGAGATGTCCGAGCTTACAAAGTACTTCATTAATCCACAACTGTTTAAACACCCTAGATTAGGCTATTATCCAGTAATATTCATTTTTATTAATATAATTATGCATGGTTTTTTTTATTGATTTTTGTATTGTACAATTAGGGTGCTATATACAGCATCTTTCACATGGGGGATATTACTGGATAATAGCCTAATCTAGGGTGTTTAAACAGTTGTGGATAAATGAAGTACTTTGTTTGTAAGCTCGGACATCTCCATCTAACCATCGGGTAACATGCAGGGAACAAGTTTCAGGTGCCATCTTTGTGCTACCGGCTGACAGATTAAGTCTGTCTGAAATCGGTATTCATAATATTGAATCTCCTCCAATGGGACGTGAGCGTCCTTGGTTGTCTAGCCGACGTGAGGTTCAACCCATCAGATGACTAACCAGGAAGTAGCAGCAAACTAAATTAACGAGCACGACGTTCCCGATGGTGGTTGGCGATGAACAACAGCTGAATGTGAGTATGTAATTTTAACATTTCTTATATAAGTGTGTTTTTTCACTGTTAAGAATGTCTGTCCTGATGAAAGCTCCCTAGAGGAGCTGAAACATCGATTTCAGATGCACATTGAAAAGTAAACTTTTGAAATTCCTTGAGTGCCGGTATCCTTTCTTTATCTACATCTGAGCCACCAGAGCACCAGGTACTGTGTTTGTTTTTTATTTTATTTATTTTTTTAAGTTGGAGTGCGAGGGCTCTTTGTGTGTGTGTATGTATGTGTATATATATTTTACACACACACACACTCTCTCTGCATTCATTATATATATATATATATATATATATATATATATATATATATATATATATATATATATATATATATATATATATATATATACACACACACACTCTCTCTGCATTATATACACACACACACACACACTCTGCATTCATTATATATACATATACACACACTATACAAACACACTGCATTAACTATATACACACTACACAAACACTCACTGCATTCACTATACACACTACACAAACACTCACTGCATTCACTATACACACTACACAAACACTCACTGCATTCACGATACACACTACACAAACATTCACTGCATTCACGATACACACTACACAAACATTCACTGCATTCACGATACACACTACACAAACACTCCATTAACTATACACACTACACACACAATATTATACTATATATGTCTGTCTTTTGTCCTTTTTATGTTCCTTAAATTGGAGCTGTGGCTTATCTCAACAATGCTGATAGTGTTGCTATTTATCTATGCACTATATCACTTTAAGTGTTTTTTTTGCAGTTTGCACTCTTAGATATTTTACACATATAAGTTGATTGTTTATATAAATTTTATCACTTGTGAGAGAGTATATTGCGACTAGCCCTGGGTACACAAGTACCAATAACTCAGTATGTGCAGTGTTTCAAACAGAAAAACGACACATACTGACTCCTGCTGCCATGACCACTTCAGAAAGCAGAAGTGGTCATAGTGGTTGCACTAACCCTTTAAATCTCCCCCTAACACTTCCTGTACCCTATGACCACTTATGAATTTTGAGGAAATGTACATATCACAGATACAAATGCTACATATGCTTTCCTTTGGGTACGAGATCCTGCGTAAACCTACATTGGAGTGTCTATCGGCTTTCCCTAAACCATGTGAGCTATTAACTTAATGTCAAAACTGTGGCTAAAACATTTTTATCTAACCCTCCAATCCTATGTCAGTTCTACATTCACTGAAGTTAATTACAAGTTACTTTTAAGATGGTCACCCACTTTAAGAGTTCATTAATTCCATATAGTGACTAACATTTTGAAAAAGGTGCTTCATATGTTTTACCAAATAGTAGTGTGTGTGTATGTGTATTGTTTGCTCATGCGTCCTAACTGCTGTTTTATTCGTTAGGTATTGAAGATTCACCCAACTCTAAATACCCACGCCTAGATCTTGCATTTGAGGAGTGGGATGAAGCTGGGCTACCCTGGTGGTTTTTGGGAAATTTGAGGACAAATTACATTCCTCAGAGTAATGCATCTACTGACATTCCTTCTAACCAGGTATGAACCGTTTAAAGCTTAGTTAATACCAGACGAAACATACACAACTGTAATGCTTCAAAATGGGGGGTGCCTTCTTTTGAAACAACTGCAAAAACCAATGTGAGAGAGGCTTAACTTGATAGAGGCATGTCTTAGGCACTGACAATTCACTGTTTAGTGAATAACTTTCCATGGTTGTTAATGAAAAAAGTGACCTGTTGAGAATTCTCATTGTATTTAAAATCCGCTGCCTTGTAAATATCTTCAGTATCAGTTATGTTTTAGTTAAGATATTTTGGTCTGAAATTTTAAATGCTCTTTGACTTAGTCTTTTTTTGCTTGTTTTTATTTTATTTTATATTTTTGCAGTGCATAAGAATATTACAAGAAGGCATGAGGTACCCAAACGGCTATACTCAGGCTTATTCTCACACTATACATTTGGGGTAACTGAGAACACATGCAGACTTTTATAATATAGGTAGATTGAGTAAAGAGTATGATGTAGAGGATAGGTAGCTAGGTTCAAGCATAGACACGTGTGTGTGTGTGTGTGTGTGTGTATATGTGTTTAGCAGGTCTAGTGCTAAACACGAATATAGTCAGGCAAAGTCATATAGCTATGGACCGTTGGTGTAATAGACCCCAGGAGACCCTTTGAAGACTATGTAGTGGGAGGCAGTATCGGGTGATCCAGGGGGTTTGAGCTGACCATATGGAAAACAGTCCTGCCCTCTAAAGTAGATCATATCAGAGTGAGCTGCAAACTAAAGCAATGTGTCAACAGTGTTCATGAAGCTGGCGATGCAGATGCACTTTGCCAGGGTAAGTCACTCTTCTAAGTTGCCGATCAGCATACGCCTTGTTTGGGCAGAGTACAGACTTATGCCGACGGGCAGCAGCTCGGGTATGTCAGTCCATGTGTAGACAAACACTAGGTGCCTGGTTGGTGGGAGCTTGGACTCGTGTGAGTCTTCATGGATACTTGCAGGCTCCAGGGGACTGCCATCCTGCACTTGCTGCCTCCTTGAAGGATCCCTGGTCGCCTGCCTCAGGATGGTTTCCGTCCTCCTGGGCAGGTCGTTGTCAGATGTCGTTGCTGTCTTCCGTTTAGGTCTGCTAGGTGGAGTGCGCGGCGGAGTTTGAGGCTTTGTTTGAGGTTGTGGGTTGCAGAAGAGCCTCTAGCTTACCAAAGAAAGCTTGGCAGGTCTTATCTAGACGGAGCTCCACCTCAGACTTCTCGCTTTGAGAGCCAAATTAGAACGCTGCTTCTGCCATTTTGAAAGCAGTGCTGCTGTTTGTATCGGGTCGCTACAGCGCTCTCTCCAGGTTGTGCCGGGATCTCCATAGGGCAAAACGGGATGACCTCCACCATTACAGTCGGGGGGAGGGGAACGTGGGTCTTGTAACCGGTTTCCAGCTTTGACTGTCAGCGGGGGAGCATCCGTCTTCCACCCGCTAACCACACGTGTAGGCCCTGCCTGAGGTACAGGGGATTTCTGCCGGTAGTGTCGTTTGTGTGGCATCATTGTGAGCCCCTCTTTGTCACGTTCTGCCTGGTGGCCTTTTTGAACCGGTTCGGTCCTGTTTAAGCGGATTTCAGCAACACAATTTGTGCTGTGTAGAAGGAGCTGGACAGGTTGGCGTTCTCTCAGCTCAGCGATCAGAACCTTTCATATCACTTAGAAGAAACTTTCGAAATTGACTACATTTAATCTCCTTCAACTGTAAGTTATGAAGCATTAAACAAGGACACAAGAATCCAATGTCATTTTCTTTGCAGGACATAGATACAGCCCTTGTATCTGATACCACCGATGACTTGTGGTTCCTTAATGACTGTCGATCGGATCAGATCAATGTTGAAGTGAAACTGGATGCTGTAGATTCGCCGAATAGCGAGGGTGAAGAAATAAAGGAAGATGAAGGCAAGAAGGTGAGCATAGTTGCACATCCTATACACTACTTTTGTTTCCGTACCCTTGTTTTAAATATTTTCAGTAATTCAGATATTGATACCAATATCAAAAATTCTGTTCCGCTACCAACAAACTACAGTACTTAAAAACATGTTAAAAAAAAAAACGCAATTTCAGTTGTAAAAATAACTTATTTTAATTATAAGGTAATGCCTTAATGTTTACAATAGAACATTTATTGAGGGGGTTGCCAGTCTACTCAGAAATTTATATAGACTGGAGGGTTGTATTGTAGAAATTGTAATAGTATGCATGAAATGGTAAGCAGATGTTTATATCAGTGACTCTGTATCTTGGGATTGGAAAGTTGTCTTCATCCCAAAATCAAATTTTTGCATTAAAGTGTTTTAATGTTTGTGGTTTATGGTGATGATTGTGTGAAGAAGGCTAGTCTCAGCAGCCTGCAGCTTCCTTTAGGTCTAGTTTATTGTCTGAGAATGTTGATTAGTGAAATAATCCCTGCATCTCTCTAGGCCTAGTTCAGTGAAGAGGGTTGGTAAGTGGCACCTAGCCCACACCAAGGCACTTTTGGACCTTAATCACTACAGCACTCAGTAGTGGTTATTGTACTTTGAGTGTTCCTTATGTTTCTGGGTGCTTGTTTAATACATATGTGCCCGTTCTAAGATGTTTCAATTGTGGCTTTCATAGTTTGTTGAAGAAACCCTTTCTACTATTTACTTTGTTTATGCAGCCTTAGCCACACCTCCTGTGACTTACACAGGCTCCCTACACACTTCCTGTAAGTAGATGTTATTTTTAAACCTTTAATGCAGAGTTTGTTGAATTTTGAATTTCCTCTCTCCTGCTCTGTTAATACCATGCAGATCATCATATGTGAGAATTTAATTCATAGATTATGCTGTAAGATCTGATTGAAAATTAGTGTGTTTCTTTAAAGTGGATTGTAGTACAGGTCTTCATACTTGACATAACATATTACACGTTTTGATGGTTATGCTGTCCTAGTTTGATTTATTGCCTACCTTAATTTGCAGTGACTAGTACAAGGTTATTGGTATAAGTTATTTGATAACTGAAGACTAACACAATACCAGTCTACTGCACTGACATCTACTCTGTCATGGTTTTGCTAGATTACTTCCTTATTACCTGTTCCCTTTTCTGTACCCTCTCAGGTGATTAAAGTTACTATTTACGAGGATGATCCAGAGGATACTCAGAGTTTAAGTGATGATACAGACACTGAAATCACTTCTGAGGTTTGTCATTTAAACATTGTTGCTTTCTCTATTTTAGTTGCAGTGTTAATATTCTGAATAGCAGTTTTGTGTGTGTATCTATACACACACACTTATTATATAGTGCCAGCAAATTACGTAGTGCTGTACAATGGGTACTTACTGAATAGAATTATATTACTGATTGTGTTGTTATTTGTATATACGTACATACATGAATAGTTCATATAGCACTGGTCAGGGAGCCTAAATACAACATTTTGGATTGTTCCTGTTAATGGTAATTTTTGTTTTGTTTTGGCTTCTACTTTGTAATGTCTCATGTTTTTCTGTTTTACTTTAATGAGAGAATGTGAAAAATATTCTGTTTTCCTCAGGACTGCTGGCAGTGTGCAAATTGCCACAAATTAAACTCTCCAGTAAAGCGTTACTGCTTCCGCTGCTGGGCGCTACGAAAAGACTGGTATATGGACTCTCCTCGTCTCACCCACACTTTGTCAACACCTGCACTTCGTGCCAAGGGCTTCTCTGAAGATGACCAGAATGGAATTGACATCCCTGACTGCCGGAGAACAGTGTCTGCACCAATGGTGCGGCCACAAGGAGCTTATAACAAGCAACCTTCATCCTCCCTGGATCCCTTAGACCTGGCAGCATGTTCAAGAAATTTCTCAGAAAGCACAGATACATTACTCAGTTGCCAGTCTGATGAAGTGTCCTTGGAGTCTAGCCGACCACTGTTGGAACCTTGCCAGCTTTGCCATAAAAGGCCTCGTAATGGCAATGTGGTCCATGGGCGCACTGCCCACATGGTGGCTTGCTTTCCTTGTGCACGCAACCTTAAAAGAAGTCAGAAGGGATGCCCAGTGTGCCAGAAGCCCATACAGATGGTGGTGAAAACATATGTTGCATAAATACAGCATCGTGCTGCATGATTGAACCTTTGTTTTTTTTGTTTTTTGGGTTTTTTTTACCCCCACTTTTTGCTGCCAACACATGTGGGGTAACTGGACCATTGTTATGGAAACAGGCATTTTTGTATTTTAAGCTCATATTTGTGTTTTTGTTCCTCAAGCACCTTGTATTTGTTTATTTTATTGTGGAGACCATGAAGGCTTTTGCGTTGAAGTACAACAGAGCAAAACCACTTTTATTTTGTTTACTGGGGATGTTGGGAAGAGTCCTCTTGTCTCTCAAACTCTTGGGACAGAGGTTTATTCCTGTCCTCAAAAGAGAATGTGCTATCACTGCCAATATAGCTAACTGAAATGTTGTATTAAAGTTTAATTTCCTCAAGCCAAGCAGAATGGAGGATATACATTGTCAGATAATATTTATAAAGATATATTTAATGAAAGCTGTGTATTTATGTATGGACATCGACATGTGCAGTCTTTAAAACAAATGTACTTGGTGTCTCTAGAACATGAGGAGTAATAGTAGTTTCTAAATTTAGTCCGTAAAGCAGCTAGTTTGGCCCTTTCCAACCCCACCCTCACCCCAGCAATAAGAAAACAAAAAAATTAGCATACCATAAACATATGGGGGGGAGGCAGTTTCAGTGGAGCATCCTGCAGTCTCGAGGAATTTTCCATAGTCCTCAGAGTTGTACTTTTCTGCAGTCGCTAGAATACTCCATGGACACCAGCACCTGATAGAAAAATTTCTGAGGAGGACCTCACAGAAGAGGATTCGGCAGCGCAAGAGACTTTCAGGTAAGTCAAAATTAGCTTTTCCCTTTCACCCCGGGGCTGCCAGAATGCTAGCGGAGCAGTCACCGTCTGGGGTCTTTGTAAAACATGCAGAGACCCAGAAGCTGATAGAACCCCTTTAAGAATAGAACCATTAGTTTGTGGTTCCTAAACCTGGATTTCTATACATCGTTTATTACTTCAGTAAATTCCAGAAGGAGTACTAAAGTAATTGTAGCTTTACATCTGTAAAGTTACATTTGGATTCCATGGCATTAGAACATTAAAGACTGTATATCAAACTTCACATGCTACTCACAAATTGTGTTTATTAGCCCACCTCTCTAGAATATGTATATGTGAGAATATATAGGTATATATATTCTATCTATATCTGTCTGTCTGGAGTATTTATTTGTCCAACATGACTTTCTGAATCGGGAGGGCAAGCACATACCCATCTGGCATGCATGTATATACACAATTGTAAGCATGTGGTCCATTGGTAAGAATTGCAGCATGTTACTACAGCATGTGTGATAGGAGGCTTCACTTTGATGCTATATTTGTATTCTTTACTGCTACGTGGATGGATTAGCAGTTAAAAATCAGAGAGGTAACATTTTAAGCTACACAGTTAGCATAACCTATAGAATGTATTTGCATATAAAGTGGCAGCATATATATATATTTTTTTTAAGTGCACTCTAATGCAATTAAAGTTAATGAATGCATTTTCTTTTTTTTCTTTTTCTTTTTTTTTTTTTTGGTACTACACACATTTGCCATGCAACTAAATGACCCTTTTAACCCCTTAAGGACCAAACTTCTGGAATAAAAGGGAATCATGACATGTCACACGTCATGTGTCCTTAAGGGGTTAAACCTATTCCTTCCACCTTTTTTTGCCCTTTCTTTTCGGGTGCATGCCAAGAAAGGGGGAAACACACAAAGTTAACATACATTCATTTATTGTCGCTCATTTCTTTTCTGCTCTGCTGAATTACCATCATGCTTTGCTTCTTTAATTGCTTTGAAACTGTGAGCCTTCTATATGCATTTCAGTCATGCGTGCAATTGCACTTATGTCCTTCTAGTTTTAGCAATTTACACCAATTGCTTCATCAGTTACCCGATTATTATAAAAAAATAAAAAAAATTTGTAGTGGCCTTTTCCATTTCCACATGCCATTTTCATAGTAAATTTTCCACCCCATTTTTTTTTTTGTTTATAATTGCAGCTGTATTAATTTCCAGAATAAAATGAAATACTTGTACAATTTATTTTAATCTAGTTTAATGGTATGCACTTGAAGAGTTACTCCAGCTAGAAACAGTGTTTTCATAAAACACACGTGTTGGTTGTAGTCACTCCTTCTGTGCTGGTTTCTTTGTCCAAAAAAGAAATGTTTATTTAAAAACAACTTTTTTAACCCCCCCCACCCTCCCTAAGATCTCCCTCAACCTAATCCTCTTTGGACTAATGGTGTATATGCAAACTGCTTTCTGTGGTTAAAAGTTACTCATAACCAACACAAGCTAAAAATTGATGGTGAACTCATTATTTTTCTCTGAACAGTATTTTGATAAGGCAAAAAATAGAAATAGGTCCTGGATTCAAAGAAGGCAATTTATTAAACCCACTGCCAATCCCAACGTTTCGACCCGAACAGTCTTTGTCAAGGTTGACAAAGACTGTTCAGGTCGAAACGTTGGGATTGGCGGTGGGTTTAATTGCCTTCTTTGAATCCTAGAGTGCCTGGACCTCTTTCTATTTTTTGCCTTATCAAGTATTTGGTTCTTGGTACTGGAACTGGCCTTGTTAAATCCACATTCATATCACTATGGGGTTTGAGTGCAGTTCAACACCCCTGTTTCTTGAACATTATTTTGAGTCTGATCCTGATTTCACTTAAGCTGAGGCTGCAAATCCTTTGTACTCAACCAAGTTTTTTGTTACTACTCAGTGTGTTAATTCTCATTGAACTGACCCTAGTATCCTTCTAAAAAAAGTAAATTGTGTCCTCCATTCCTCTAAATCAAGATCGTTGCCTTTAAGTCCCCATCAATGTTATTCTGTATTCACATTTTTATTTTTTTATATCCGTATTTATTCTCCTGTATTCTCAATAAAGGTACCATGGTATTCAGAACAGTGAGATTGAGTTGATAATTGAAAACTGTTCATAACGTTCTCTACACAAGCTTGTTAATATACTTTTGAGTTTTCCATTGGGCCCAAGAGCCAGTATGTTTTGAAAGCGCATGATGCTCGGAAGCCATTACCAGGGCTTTATGGAGAGTTTCCATGTTTCCTGCATTGTTTGAAATTTAAAGCTGATTCCATATCATGCAAGCGCCTCCTATTAGTTTTTCGGTGCTCTTCTGCTTTTAGAAGTATTGGATTATCCAGGCAATAAAAGCATCTCAACATGCTTAACAGGTGTGATATATCAAAATATATTGTCTTAATATGGATCAGTATGTGAAACTGAAAAGAAAAGTGTTTTCATTAAATTGTTGAACTACTTTGTTCATTTGGAAGGTACCTTTTAAAGCCTATGCTGCGTGTCCCTCTGGACATCATTCAGAACAATCTGTTCTATTGTTCTGACATTAAAAGGATTATGCAAGAATTAATGCCACTAAATCTTATAGTATTCACGACAATGCAAGAGTAATCTGTGTGTAAAGTGCTCATTACACCTTTTTCTTTTCCTTTCCACTGCCTTTTACAATAACCAAAGAATGGAAAAAAATTGAAGTTAAATATGTTGGATTATTTTCTTTTCTTCTCATATACAGAACATTTGCTTTGTTTGCTTCTGTGAGAATATTTTTCAGACTGTGCTTTTATTTATTTTAAGAAAGTTGACCTATTAAAAACATGTTCCTTATTATTCTGTTTTGTTATGACCAAGTGCCTTTCTTGTACTGATCACTTATTGTTGAGTAGCATCCACATTTGAAAGGTTATCTTTTGAAACTGACCATAATCCATTCTAGAAACAGCACACGGCTCAATGGTAGTTATGTATGCATCAATAATGGAAAGGAGCAATGGCTGTTTGGCTGTTGTAATGACTGAAAACCCCCTTGTCATTCGCGTAGGACCAGAGATAAAATTGCAAAATGATTGGGGTTGGGAAATATGTAATTTGTGGTAACATTTTAAATCAAGCACTTTCACGAAGATCTAACTTGTGGTATTTGTTGAACACCGAACAAAGCCCGGTAGGGTGCAATGCAATTTATGACAAAAGTATGAATTATTTGCACTAAATCTGTAAGATGTTCAACCTGTGAATGGAACACCATAGTGCTAGTTATTTTTGTGTAGTACGTTTATTTCAGACATAAAACAGTCAGTCCAGTTTGTGAGTAGTTTGGTTTTCCCAATCTGTGTTATGGGGATAACATTGTCAAAATGTTAATTGAGTTATGTATAGTTTATGGATGAAAACTATCCCCATTTCTTGCAATTATTTTCCATTGTATGTTTTTTTGGTTTTATTTTTATTCTGAATGCAACAAAATATGTATTTTTGTTTTATTCTTTCAGTTAAACAAAAAACAATAAATTGTGTGCTATCCATTGTATGTTTTTTTTTGTTTGTTTTTTTCCTAATCCTATATTGAATAAACCTGTTCCAAAATTTGTAGCACTCTCTCCTGCATTGCCTGCCAAGTGTGGTGATTTCTATATCTATACACACACCCCTTCCCCCATTGTCTGTGGACACCGGATCACACCTATCCCATTTCCCAACCATGAGCATTGATAAGGACTGTTTTGTCATCCCTGACACACTCACGCTCTCTCTCTATTCCAATTCTAAATCGATTTGACTACTTACGATGTGGGTTTATCATAGCACCTGAAACATTAGTGTGCTATAGTGGTTATGGTGCTGTAAGGTGACTCTCAAATGTTACAGGTGGCACTTCTTCTCTGTGCATCTCCCTCAACCACATTTTTCCATCAGTCTACCAGAAGAGAGAGTCATGTGTCACTCCAGAGTACCAATTTCCACTGTTCCAAAGTAGTGTGGCAGCATGCTTTAATATACTTTAGCTAACTCTTGGCATTGTGCATCTTTAAGGCTTGTGTACAACTGCTCTGCAATGGAAACCTATTTATAGCTCCTGAAGCATCTTTCTCATTTATTTTTTTTGGTCTGCTCTTGTGTGAGACTGATTTAATTAATGGATTGACTGAAGTAAAGCCTTGCTTAACCCCTTAAGGACCAAACTTCTGGAATAAAAGGGCATCATGACATGTCATGTGTCCTTAAGGGGTTAAAGGAACCGTATAGTCACCCAGACCACATCATCTCAAAAACAAATTTTTTTTTTACTTACCGTAAATTTCTTTTTTTCGGAAGATTAGAGGCAGTGCTTTACAACTGGGATTTCATCACCTGGAGGGAAAAACAGCCAGGCAATCACCCAAAGCTTTTTTAAGAACCTCCCCCAATTAACCTTTGGTCTTATAAATTGCTTCCTATCCAAGACATCCCCAGAAATTACAAAAGCCGAATAACTGTACCACTCAGACTATTAAAAAATTTGGGGGCGGGGGAGTGAGCACTGCCTCTAATCTTCTGGAAAAAGAAATTTTACTTTAAGTAAAAAAAATTTGGTTTTTCCCTTCAGATTAGAGGCAGTGCTTTACAACTGGGATATCCAAAAGCAATCCAATCCAAAAGCAATCCCTGCAAAAAAACCTGTGACCAAAGTTGTATCTTCCAAGGTCAACAGACCAAAATGAGTGAAGAGATCACCTCATGGCTGTTAGGAATCGAGAGAATGTATAGCAGAAGCCCTCAGGCACCCGATCTGAACATAACTGTGATCGAAGGAGCTTCAATGGAGATAGGTGTTAGATAAGAAGAAACCCAAATGAATGCAGACCTTTAAGGTACTGTAGACGAGCACTAAACGCCCAGGCAGTGGAATTAGAATTCGAAGACCCTAGAACGCTGTTGGGAAAAGTTAGAAAAATTATGATAAATGGAAGATTGGGAAGAATTAAAGAATCCAACTTAACTCCACTTTCTCCTGCTGAAAATGGAAACTTGAAGTTCTTCCCAAAAATATTTTGGGCGACTACCCCCAGAGACCTAGAGTGAAGACTCAAATCAGCAGAGTTAAAAACCCCAAAAGAAGGTCCCCTTTCCTGAAGACAGGAACTAACCACGAAATAGCCCAGCAGATACTGGTGATTTGGAGACAAACCTCTGACAATCAACTGATAAGCGAAATTTGACCTTGAGGATGTCTGGCTTTAAACCATCCGCAAAGCCCATCCCAAAAAAAAAAAAAAGTTAAAAACTTGGAAGCGGATGCCTGCTTTTCTTTTAACCAATATCTTAAAAAAAAAAAAAAACACCACCTTCCGTACTTGGAATAAATCTTGGAACAAGATCCATTTATAGTAAAAAAATTGTCAATTTCCTGAGACAAAACCTTATCCTTCAGTATCTGGTGTACATAAACCAGGTCATCAGCTTGAATTACTACAAAGTGGAGAAGAGGTACCCTTGAGTATTCCAGGATGCCTATTTACAGGTAAGGTCCCCAAAGGTTCCTCCGGATAATTTTAGATGAACTGTGAAACAGCTACTTGCCACCAAGGGAGGAAGACTATCATTCTCACCTTTTTCATCCTATAGGATTTTGGGGAATAGGGAACCAGGAGGAAACTATAGGTTAGACTGGAATTCCCAAGAAAGAAAAGTAAACCAAAGCTTACTGGTCTGTCCAAGCTTGTCCAATGAAACACTTCATGCTATCTGTTTGATCTAGAAGTCCCAGTTCCATAACTGGATAATCAAATTCTTCCTATCGTTTGGGTGAAGATCAGGGAGTACAAACCAATCTGTTTTGTATTAAATGTTGACTACTCAATGCTACAGCTAAACAGAGGAATATTAAGTTCTATGCATAAGTGAATAGACTTAAGAAAAACTAACCCAAGCATATCCTGGAACAAGAAGACCTTGTTTGTACATAATTGCTACTGATGTAGAACTATCCGACCAGATCTGGACAAGATAATACCTGGTCCTTATCTGAAAGGCAAAGAGAGCTAGCCAGAGAGCCTTCGGTCCTATGTAGTTGGATACGTATTTTCAAAATATCTCAGCTAATTTCCCTTCAACCCTATGAGAACCTAGCTGAAACCTGAAGCATCAGTCGTAAAATTCTGAACGATCCATTTGAGAACTAGAACAAAAAGTAAGCACCGTCTGGCATCCTTCATTTCTGCCTGGTTCAGAAAGGAATGACCGAAGTATAGGATTTTACTGCAAAATCTTATCAGCAACTGTATCTGGCCTCTGAAGGACCTGTAATCAGTGCTATGTCTAAAGAAGCTGAAGAGACCAAGCAGGTTCTTACAAGACTGGAACCAAAATTATTTCCCTAGTATCTTGTCTACTGAAGTAGAAGAGAGATTTCAGGTGATAAGGACAGAGAGAACCACAAATGTTTTCTTCGGGGAATTACCATTCTCTGAGAGTCAAAAACCCTTGTCAAAAATTTTTACACCTGAACTGTTCCTTGACAAACACCAGAACTGCACACTTCTTGTAAAGGGAATTCTTTATCAGAAGATTGATTAGCATCCACCTGTATGCTGTAGAAAAAACACCCTAACCTTTAGGGCTGGTGTACAAAAAATTAATTAGGTGCCCCTGAGGAAGCAGTATTGTAGAGATTCAACAAATTTATGGAGGGCAACATTTTGCATAGTGAGAGAATCTTAAAGGACCACTATAGGCACCCAGACCACTTCAGCTTAATCAGGTGGTCTGGGTGCCTGGTCCAGCTAGGTTTATCCCTTTTTTTCTATAGACATTGCAGTTTCAGAGAAACTATGTTTATAAATGGGTTAATCCATCCTCTAGTAGCGCTTCCGCGCTCCTCACTGTGATTTTCACAGTGAGAAGACGTCAGCATCCATAGGAAAGCATTGTGAATGTTTTCCTATGGACTGGCTGAATGCGCGTGCAGCTCCTGCCGCGCATGCGCATTCAGTCGGAGAGAAGGAGAGCGCCCTGCGCTGGAGAAAGAGGTAAGTTTAACCCCTTCCCCCAGAGCCCGGCAGGAGGGGGACCCTGAGGGTGGCGGCACCCTCAGGGCACTATAGTGCCATGAAAACGAGTGTTTTCCTGGCACTATAGTGGTCCTTTAAGTGGCAATTGCCATAAGCTCTTTCTTAAAAGAAAACGGCAAACAAACCTAGGCAGTAAACCATCCCTGTCATACCATATCTATGGCAGTGCAGGGTACAAATTGAACTTGGTGGAACTACACCTTGATCAATAGGCCTGCAGCTGTACTAGACCTTGCTTCAAGCCCAGTTACATGAGGAAGAAATAATTTTCCATGGAGACTAGTTCATACAGGTTACCATCTTTAGTGGCCGAAGCGAGACTGATTACATAGATATACAGTCTGCATAAGACAATACCCACGATCCAGGCCTTCCTTAACCGTAATTGGGAAGCAGAGGCTAGAGCAGAAAGAATATCTGCAAACTGCATTTCAAAACCTGTTTAATGCAGACTCTACAGGAATCAATAGTAGAAGTAATTCTTTAAAATTGCAATACCAACCAACAGCCTTACCCGCCATAGGCTGTCCTTAGCTGTATTTGGGAAGCAGAGGCTAGAGCAGACAGAATATCTGCAACTTCATTTCAAAATCTGTTTGATGCAGACTCTTCAGGAACCAATATTAGTAAGCAATCTGATAAATTTTCAATTCCAACCACCAGCCT